ACACGTCGATCTCGCTATGCGGGCAGCATGAAAACGATGAGTTGTGATCAAAGTACACTTATTAACCCTGTACAACTGTACAATGTACCAGTCTGATGAAGAGTTGCTGAAAACATATGTCTGCTAAATCGACTTGTCACAATTTTGTTCAGCAGGTACATCTGCACCTAGCAGACACCCACGATTGTACTCACAACGCCCTCGTCGAGTTGTATTGCACTTTCTGGTGTTCAATTCGGTTTTCCTTAACTAGCGACAGAGACCATTTTGGAGCAGACGCCCAAGCGGTAATCTAACCCGTCAACCACTGTATTCGGGTGACTACCAGTAAGCTTTGTCACTTCTTCCAGTAGTATGCTGTTGCTTCAGAAATAAACTAGTTTAACAATGCCGCGCGGCTTCAAATTACGTTGGAGTTCTCCGTTCAAACCACAATATTGTTAGAATATGTTCCCCTTTCTTACTGATCAAACACACTAACAAACTATTCCTTCTGCAGCTGCACACCAGCACATTCTGTCTTCTTTTCGGTAAACAAACCCAGTTCATTGCACTTGCGGCGAGGGTTTTTATTTACTAAGGGACCGGATCGGAGAAGATATCGTGAACCCGCTTCTCCACTATGCATCACGTCAACATACAATTCTCCTAACAAAAGTTTGAAATGCTTGAGGTAGGAAGTACGCTTTGATAGTACCAACCCCACGTTGACGCTCTGAATAGACGGTGTTGTTATTTCTGCTAACGTCAGCCTCGTAAAACACGGCCTTCAAGTACAGAGCCGAGTCAAACAACTGCAATATAGCTTCCATGGTTATTTTCGGAGCCACAGTTCGCGCACAAGTTTGAAGTTACTAACCTGTTCCAGCTCGCCCACCTCAATGGTGCACTCAGGGTAGGTCAGCTTTGACACTGGATAGGTGATGAGAGGGAACTCGGACTCGGGTGTTTCGGATTCCGAGTTCCGTGCATGTTTCGAGGAGGGGGCTGAAAGGGCCTCCAACGCGGCGGACAGCTGGGTTCGAGCATTCTCCAACTGTTTCTCCACGGCTGCTGGCGTCGCTGACTCGCCGGTGGCTGCCAGTTCCTTCGCCATGCGATTCTGTGTTTGCTCAGTCGTTTGCATCGCCCAGTCGCGGAGTTGGCTTCAGGCAAATTAGGAAAAACAAGACAATTCTTCTTACGGCGGCAGTGATGGTGGTGGTGACAATCGCAACGCAAATGTAGCAGGTAAATTTCTGGAACACTGTGCACCGAGCTGCGAGAGTAAAACAAAACCCTTGGTTGCTGACAGAAGTGAATATGCGAGTTCCAGGAAGCAGTTCAGTAGAAGATGCGACCTCTGGAACAAGAATTTTATTTTCCTGACGTTTTGGGATTCTGTCGAGAATTCTTTATCATAGGTAACCGTAGGATAGTATGAGACATGCACAGATTGTGCGGTCACCCGCATGCATACTATAATTATCAGCTCCTGTAACTACCACTTGCGATTGTAATTGGTGCGGTGATTGATTGGCAGTTCGCGTTCGAGACGCTAACTGCCAGGTTGCAGCTCACTCGACGGGACCCGGCCATATTTTCAAGTTTAACGAGGCCGAAATCCTCGCAAGAGGTGACAACCGCGTGAGCCGCAGGCTGCTCGAGTCATAGTTCTCAGGTCCACAATAAATCAACAAGCCCAACGAATTGGTGTTCCCATGCTCCGTACTGA